TACTGGAGGGAGGTACCTCACCAAGATCAGGGTGTAAACCAAGACACAGAAACACATAGGACCTAATAAAACAGGAGCTCAGACAAAAGGAGAAAACAGAGAATTCCTGAGATGAAGCTGAAGAAAAGGTCCAGGTTGACACCTGTGTAACAGCCTGGAGAGCAACCAGTCCATTTCAACACAGGAGGAGGGAGGGCTCCAGAAGGGATGTCACCAAGAAAACACAAAAACAAAAACACTGAACTGATCAATTACCTAATGTGCTCAAATCTTATGAACAAAATCTCAAAGCTCTGATGGAAGAGATGAAATGGTGACAAGTATGGAGAACAGTAAGCAACCCCAGAAAGAGGGGACTATAAACTCCAGGGGAAACAAAAGATTTGTGGTGGACTGTGTGATGGTTTAAGAATATTTGATGTCACCTCCCTGGAGGAGAAGTATACTTCCCTGCCCCATCGTGAATTGCAGTGGCCAGTGAAATAGGAGCACAAGCGAATATGTGACTTCCAGCCTGAAGCTTAGGAGCCATGTCTCTGCCCCTGCCACAAGACAGGCACTGTTCGGAGGCCGCCTCTGACCGTCTAAGTCCTGAGTGAAGACACATGGCACAGAATTCCAAATGACCTGCCATTGGATAGGCAGTGTCAATGAGAAGTCAACCCTTATTGTCATAGGCCACTGAGGTTTTGGTGGTAGTTTGTTAATGTGCCATAATTAACCACTCCTGGCACAACACGGAGCAATGTGGACAACATATAATAGGCATTAAATATATACGATAAATACTCAACAAGGTAATAGAAACATATTGAGCAATTAGTAAATGGCGCAAAGTGTCTAAAACTGAAAAACTAAGATGTGGCAGTAGAAATAAGATCTTTAGAAATGTGGAATTAAGTAGCAGAACAACTTTTTTGGGGGAAGCAGGCATCAGAGTAATGATAGATGGAGCAGGGACTTCTGTTCATCATTATGAGCCTTGTAATCATTTGACTTTTAAACCATATACATTGTCACTTTGAAAAAAATAAAAATTACATTTATTTTTAAAAAATGAATTGGTAAGTGAAAGGACGAAATGTTGTATTATTGTTTTTGATTCAGCCAGCTTAATAGATTGACCATTAATCATCCCACTGTAATACTAAGATTGTAAGTAGAACCTAATTCTTGATTAGCTTTAAAAATACCTTTTTTCAAGAATATTGAATAAATTGAAGCACCAAAAGCTAAACTTTTTCATTGTACCTTCACACTGTCCACTGCAAAATAGAAATGTTCATGCTGCTTTCCTAGTATTTTGACTCAGCTACCTCCTTCCTGCACCCTTACTGTGGTGTTATTTATAGTGTACTATTTATGAAGTCAAATGTCACTAACTTGAATTTAAAAAATGACCTACATGTATATGGAATTATCTTGTGAAAAACTATTTTATACTTTCAAAAATGATTATTTTTAAAAATACCCTTTGGTCTTACATTAGACCAAAAAAATTTTTTTCCTCAGATGCCTTGCAGTGATTAAAATTGATGTTATGTATAGTTACAGATATGTATATAGAGATCTATATCCTGCATATATATATATATAAATATATGAGGTTCAGATATATATCCATTATTCACCTATAAATTATTTGTAAACAATTTGTTCTACTTAATGGGTTTTTAACTCTCTTCTGATATCTTGTACACCATTTGTCTATGTCTAAAGGATCTGGAGCAGCAAAAGTAGACTAGTCCAATTGCCATATAATAAATGCAGCAGGCTTTCCATAGCCTTTGGACTCTTTAGTGTGGCCCCTTTCTGATATGAGCTCTCTTCCTATCCTCATTCCCAGCCATCTCCTATACCCAGCACTAATTCAGTCATTCAACAGATACTTATTTGGGGTCCCCAGTGTACTAGCATGCAGTTCCCTGAGTATATGATGTCTCCCACTTCTTAGCCTTTGCAAAGGAGTTTCCTGATCTAAAATGCTATTCCTCCCATTCCTGTACCTTCTAAAAGCCAACCTGTCCATTAAGACACAAGGGGCACCTTCCTGGGGAAGCCTTCCCTTAACTCTTGAAGTTAAAAGCCCTTCCTCTCTACTCCTATAGTACCCTCTATATTTTTACCAGAGCCATTATATTCTCCTTTATATTGTGAGACCCATTAAAGCAAGAACCTGGCCTGTTTTACTCACTGGTATGTCACTTCAGTGCCAGACTCACTGTGCACCTTCAAATGGGCAAAATGTTATTGTCTGTCTTTTCTCAATGGACTATATGCTCCTTGATGGATGGGTCTGTGATTTATTCACCTTTGTTTCCTTTAGCATTTAGCACTCGGCACAAGACCTAGCACACAGAAATTTGTTGAATAAATTAGCTCTCTCTGCATTATCATTAATCTTTAAAATATATGCGTTGAGGGGGGTGCCTCAGTGGCTCAGTCGGTAAAGCATCTGCTTCTGGCTCAGGTCATGATCTTGGGGTCCTGGAATCGAGCCCCACATCAGGCTCCCTGCTTGGCGGGGAGCCTGCTTCTCCCTCTCTGCCCCTACCCCTGCTTGTGTGCTCTCTCTCTCAAATAAAATCTTTAAAAAACAAATATATATATATATATATGCCTTGAAGAATATATACAAAGTATCCTCATGATACAGAGAGACCATGTGCTGAGGATTATTCCTTTTGTGTTTTACTTAAATAGGAAAAGTACATGTGGAAGACCCAAGACCGGAGACCACAAATGCCAAATTACCCAGCTGTGCTCTATGATCTTACCACCCATAACCTAGATTTAAAAAAAAAAAATGAAATTCTTAAAGGAATAATCTTAAAATAACCAGCTAAAAATTTATCAACAACAGCAACAACAAGTTGGAATTTCTGCTCATTTAGTCAGTTTGTATGGGTAAACATTACCTACATTCCTTGATTCGTGGTATGGTATATTTCTAACCCAATTTACTATCAATCAAAACCAAATTATTATCAATATACAAAAATCAGTTATATTTCTATCCACTGGCAATGAACAATCTGAAAATGAAATTAAGAAAACAAGTCCACATATAATATCAAAAGGAATAAAATATTAAGGATCAAATTTAACCAAAGAAACATAAGACTTACAACTATAAAACACAGTTGAAAGAAAGTAAACAAGACCTAAAGAAATGGAAAGTCAGCCCATGTTCACGGATTGGAAGACATAATATTGTTGAGATGGCAGTACTCCCCAAATGCAGCTACAGATTCAAAGCAATTCCTATCAAAATTCCAGCAGCCTTTTTTTTTTTTTTTTTGCAGAAATGCATAAGCTGTTCCCAAAATTCATATGGAAACTCAAGGGACCCCCAAATAGCCAAAACAATATTGAAAGAGAACAAAGCTGGTGAATTGACACTTCAAAATTTACTAAATAATTAAAGTAATCAAGACAGTGTGGTATTAGCATAAGGAAAGACATAAGCCAAAGGAAAAGAACCAAGAGTCCAAAAAAACCCCCAAACATCCATGATCAGTTAGTTTTCAACAAAAATGCCAAGACAACTCAATAAGCAAAAAATAGTTTTTCTCAACAAATGGTACTGGGACACCTGGATATTCAGATACAAAAGAATGAAGTTGGATCCCTACCTCACATCATACACAAATATTAATTCAAAATATACCCAAGACATAGCCATAAGAGCTAAAAACTCTAAAACTCTTAGAAGAAACCATACGTGTAAATCTACACAATTTTGGATTAGGCAATGGTTTCTTAGATATGACAACTAAATCCCAAACAACCAAAGGAAAAAAAATAAATTGGATTTCATCAAAAGTAAAAACTTTGTAATGCAAAGACCACCATCATGAAAGTGAAGACAACCCACAGAGTCGGAGAAAATATTTGCAAATCATATATTTGATAAGAGACTTATATCTAGAAGATATAAAGAACTCTTACAACTCAACATTGAAAAGACAAGTAATTTTATTTTTTTTTATTTTT